TGAAATCAGTTCAGTTCATCCATCCATTTTTTTGTCACGCTGTATTACAACTGGGGACGCTGGTGCCTAGCTCCAGCTATGAGAGGCAGGGTACACCCTGGACAGGTCGCCAGTCTATCACAGGGCAACACAGAGACAAGCAACCATTCACACACACACTCACACCTAAAGAGAATTTAGAGAAGTCAATTAACCTAAAAAATCATGTTTTTTGGACTATGGGTAAAAGCTGGAGTACCCGAAGAGAACCCATGAACATGCAAACTCCATACTGAAAGAACCAAGAAAGAACTGAGAATTGAACCAACAACCTTCTTGCTGCAAGGCAGCAGTGCTACCCACTGCACCACTGAGCAGTTCAATTCAGTTCAATTAAATTAAATTCAATTAGGTTTGGTTCAATTCAGTTCAGGTTCGGATTTTGTCCAGTCTAGTCTAGTCTAGATTAGTTCAGTCTAAACTACAATAACATTTAACACTATAAGGGCAGGACTAACACAATTTTGCAGTAAATATAAGCAAATTTCCTTAAAAAGTACAAAGAAATTCGACCACAACATTAAAAGAGCAGCCCATAGGCCCACTTTATCTGTCAAAATACTTCAGTTTTAGGCTGAGTTATCATTCTTTTAGAAATTCCCCACAAAACCACCTTCTTAAAAAAAACTGTGGATTTTTTAGAAAACTAATCTAACCAAATATATTTATTCCTATCTTATGTGGGATAGAGAAAATTTACACTAAAGTCAACCCTTGGCAGCTCATTCTTGTTTCCTCCTGCACAAGCTGAAAGTTGTATATCTGAAAGAAAGACTGACACGCCTACCTGTATGTGGCTGTAACATCTTAACAGAACTGTACACTTGTGCTGTTAAATTAAACTTCTGTTAGCCATAGATGTCACTGGTGTGCTCGGCTAGGCAGTGGGATTAGGTTTCCTAATTCCATTGGCACCAGGTGTGACAATGCTGTAGAAACATGACTCTGGAGCACAGAGAACAGCAGCATGTGTTCCTGCAGAACTTGATGGATGAAGCATGGGTTTCCTGCCAAGATTGACATGTTTAACTTGTGCAGCAGCTACGCTTTTAAACTTCGGTGTGGTAAACACAGCTGCCCAACAGGAAATTAAATAATGAGAGTTTCTTTTGCTATTTTTCTGTTATTTTTTTTCCAAACAAAACAGCTAATTATTCCCCTGAGATTCCTAAGCAACGTCCAAATGAAACTCCACTAAATCTTGCACTCAGTGTTTGGTTTCCATGCAGCTTTTAGCTCTCTGTTGCTGCCTTGACTCTACTCTCACTCCTCTTCATTAAGCCTTGACTGTTAATAAACAATGGGATTTAGTGGATAATGTACAGGTGCTGGTCATAAAATTAGAATATCATGAAAAAGTAGATTGATTTCAGTAATTCCATTTAAAAAGTGAAACTTGTATATTATATTCATACATTACATACAAACTCATATATTTCAGATGTTTATTTTGTTTAATTTTGATGATTACAAATGACAACAAATGAAAATCTCAAATTCATCATATCAGAAAATTAGAATATTACTGAAGACCAATAAAAACAAAGGATTTATAGAAATGTTGGTCAACTGAAAAGTATGAACATGAAAAGTATGAGCATGTACAGCACTCAGTATTTAGTTGGGCCTCCTTTGGCCTGTATTACTGCAGCAATGCGGCGTGGCATGGAGTCGATCAGTCTGTGGCACTGCTCAGGTGTTATGATAGCCCAGGTTGCTCTAATAGTGGCTTTTAGCTCTTCTGAATTGTTGGGTCTGGTGTATTGCATCTTCTTCTTCACAATACCCCATAGATTTTCTATGGGGTTAAGGTCAGGAGAGTTTGCTGGCCAATTAAGAACAGGGATACCATGGTCCTTCAACCAGGTACTGGTAGCTTTGGCACTGTGTGCAGGTGCCAAGTCCTGTTGGAAAATGAAATCTGCATCTCCAAAAAGTTGGTCAGCTGCAGGAAGCATGAAGTGCTCTAAAACTTCCTGGTATGTGGCTGCGTTGACCCTGGACCTCAGAAAAAACAATGGACCAACACCAGCAGATGACATGGCACCCCAAACCATCACTGACTGTGGAAACTTTACACTGGACTTCAAGCAACGTGGATGAAGTGCCTCTCTTCTTTTCCTCCAGACTCTGGGACTTTGATTTCCAAAGGAAATGCAAAATTTACTTTCATCAGAGAACATGACTTTGGACCACTCACCAGCAGTCCAGTCCTGTTTCTCTTTAGCCCAGGCAAGACGCTTCTGACGCTGTCTGTGGTTCAAGAGTGGCTTGACACAAGGAATGCGACAGCAGAAACCCATGTCTTTCATACGTCTGTGTGTGGTGGTTCTTGAAGCACTCACTCCAGCTGCAGTCCACTCTTTGTGAATCTCCCCCACATTTTTGAATGGGTTTTGTTTCACAATCCTCTCCAGGGTGCGGTTATCTCTCTTGCTTGTACACTTTTTTCGACCACATCTTTTCCTTCCCTTCGCCTCTCTATTAATGTGCTTGGACACTGAGCTCTGTGAACAGCCAGCCTCTTTAGCGATGACCTTTTGTGTCTTGCCCTCCTTGTGCAAGGTGTCGATGGTCGTCTTTTGGACAACTGTCAAGTCAGCAGTCTTCCCCATGATTGTGTAGCCTATAGAACTAGACTGAAAGACCATTTAAAGGCTTTTGCAGGTGGTTTGAGTTAATTAGCTGATTAGAGTGTGGCACCAGGGGCCATCAATTTTGAACCTTTTCACAATATTCTAATTTTCTGATATGATGAATTTGAGATTTTCATTTGTTGTCATTTGTAATCATCAAAATTAAACAAAATAAACATCTGAAATATATGAGTTTGTATGTAATGTATGAATATAATATACAAGTTTCACTTTTTAAATGGAATTACTGAAATCAATCTACTTTTTCATGATATTCTAATTTTATGACCAGCACCTGTAGGCCAACACACTGGTGTTAAACAGGAGCAGGACAGTCCCTCAGGGCTGGAGACTGATCACTGGCATAATTATTGCAGTCATTGAGTCAGATGGCATGAAGAAAAGCTTCTGTTGTTCAATTAAACAATGTGGAAGCACATTTCATCTCATGCAGTTAACAACCACCTCTTGTATAGCATCCTATGCTGAATTCTTTCCTCTATCAAGAGGAACTGTTCTGCTTGTTCTATTTCTATCCCTCTGTGGACACTAGATAATTGTCATGGAGCACAATGATTATAACAGGGATTCACTTGGGGGGATGAGGGTAAAAATGAAAGATAGAAAACGACAGCTAATTAGTCTGAAGGAGCGTGAGGCCGATTGTTAAAGCTCAAGTAAAAAAAGCGTGAAATAATAAGCGAAGACGGAGACAAATGAGAGAGAAACCTGGTCTAAAGCTGTGAATCAGGGTGGAGTTTGTTTCTAGACGGTCCTCATCATGGCTTTACCCTCTGCCTCTCTGCTCTTCCTTTTTTGGTGTTCTTGTCAGCAGCTCACCTATACACATGATGAGCCACTGGACGGAAAAAAAGAGTAAATCATAGCAAAAGTCAAACAAAACAATAAATGAATGAGACACAGAGAAAGCTACATTATATTAAAATGACCTCAAATTCTTTTTTTTTCTAATAACAAAGACTTTATTTTTCGGTATTGAACACTTAATGTGCATAGCTTCCGTGTGTATGGATCCCACCTCTATAAATACATGCTGAACACACTTAGGCGTTGCATAAACTCAGCTGACATTCCTGACGCCTGGCTGGATCAGTTTTTCCATCGACCCCGCTGGACAACAGACACAGCTGCCCCCCCTCCACCCCCATAGCTTCACCGACCTCTCTGCCTAATTCTGTGAGCTCTTATGTGCGTGCACATGCTTTCACCTTGGCAATGCTAAAAACCTTTTTTTTTAGTTTATAAATACCTCTGGTAAAAAGGCAAAAATAATGGAGGCTCTGAGGCATAATGGGGGTCATGACTGAATAAATTTGAAACCACTTTAATTGCTTTGAAGTCAAAAAGCTGAAATGCTAAATATTTTGGGGCCCAAAGTAGCATCTCATAATCCTGTGCTTTTGCAATGTCGATTTTGATTTATAACAGATATCAACAGTAATTGGGCTTAAACCTCAACAGTTTCTGCAGTTTTTATAGAAGTTTTGATGTTGTATGAAAAGCTGTGTGCGAAAAACAAAAGAAAAAAATGCTGATTTATACTGAAAAAAGATGCACAAATAAAAATCTCCATCATCTGATTGCATGTGTGGATTTGTAGGAAGAATGACTGTGCGTATCTAAACACAGATTTCCTGATATGGCAGAACAGCATTCCTCTTCATTCCTACAATTCACTGGAGGACCCGACATGATGTCACTCAACATTCTCATGAGAGGACCAAAAGTCTCTGTGTTTTAACAAAGAGAAAAAAAGAGGCTTCCCCTCTTTATTGTAGCAGTTAACATTGTTAAAAATATGTCCTCAAAGAGGCTGAAATTGTACATAATATGCTGGGGGCTGTTTAAAACTGTATATGAGAGTGTTTATTCTGGCCAGAACTAAGGTTTAAGGCGGGAAGAAAAGGAATAGTAGGGAATTAAATACAGGATATAAATAAAAATGTATCTATATTTATTTATAATAATTTTTAAAATCAGATTTTTGAAATTAAAAAGTGTAAAAAAGCATCTAGTGCAAGAGAAACTGTGAGAGCGCGAGAGAGTAAGAGCAAAGGAACTAAACCAAGTGCTGAGAGAGAGCTTGTGACGTGGGGAATACTGGGAGACAAAGGAAGGATGATGAGGAAAAGGAGAATGGGAGAAAGGATAAAAGGGAGTTAGGGGAAAAAGGTTAAAAGCATTGAGAGTAAAGGAAACCAACAGAGAAAGAGAATGGAAGAGAGAGAGTGAGATGGGGGAAGTAAAGGGGGAGGGAGAAAACCAACGTCCCAGATTCCCAGGCCGTTTAATAGGGAGTAAAACCAAACTGAGCTTATAATGTAGTCTGGCTGAGCAGAGGGCAAAGTGAAAGCATGAGTGCATGTTTTGTGTGTGTGAGAGCGACAAAAGGGGGAAAGAGTCAGGGTTAACCATGAGTGCATGTTGCCACTCCGTGTCTACATGTGGGGTTTGTATGCAGACAACATATGTGGCCCAGTGTGTGGAGATGTACATGTAAGGGAAAAACAGTTTCCCCTGAGTGGACATGCTGCAGCCGGCACGTTGACTGGACTCCATTCATTTTGTTGCTTTTTCTTCGCTTTGGATTAATCTCAACCACTGCTTTTATTTTACTTTTTTTTAAATGAAAGAGTTCAAAGTGATTTTTAGTTTTGTTCAGAGATTAATCTTCTTCTTATGTACGCCCCCTCCTCCACTTCATTCAGCGCTGAGTGGGCGAGGGCCCTACCTGGATTACTGAGAGCTTAGATGTTTGTGGGGGGCGCTAACAGGAGAAGGGAGAGACTGAAAGAGAAGATAAAGTGACAAAGAGAACTTGAAGATGTACCTGTACAAAGCAACATGCCCGGAGATCCCCAACCCAAAGCAGAAGAGTTCCAGGGGTCAAGGTGGAGTTGGGATCCCGGTGCAGGGCTTATGTCAGGGGAGACTGATCAAGCAAGTGTCCATGGGGCCCGGGTCACAGTCTTATGCCCCTGTGATGCTGTGGACTGCAAACAGGGCAAACAACGTAAGGCAACTCAAACAACTGGAGGAGTTCCTCAACTTCCACTCATTGTCTTTGCAGGATACAGTGAGGAGTCAGACTGGCATGGTCTACAGGTAACCTTCCCTTGCATTTCCTTATTAATTTATTTCTACTATTACACTCGAGGTTAGGTGTGTGGACCAGAGGATGCTCAAAATCGATCTAAATCTAAACTAAATGGATTTAAATAAACACTCAAGCATTCACAGAAAAAGTGTGGAAGAATTAAATATATAAAAATAAAAAATGTAAGAAGAAAAAAGAAAAAAATCTGCAAACATACTTTATGGGTCTACTATATAGACATTTAAACATTTCTATGCTTTTCATCTCATCATGATTCGTAATGAACATTTTTAGAGAAAGAAAATAGACTATGAATTGTTTTTTTTTTTCTGCGCTAAGCTGTTGACACAGACTTGAGCTGTATGCATTTCATGATATATAAATAGAAAGTAGCAATATTTAGCATTATATGCTCTATATATTCGCCTGTTGATAGTTGTTCCTGATCGACTGTAATCAGAATGTTAACACGCTTGTTGGATTACAGGGCTAATTTGCCTTCTTAACTGCTAAGGGGAAATAATAAATGGTGATCGTGTTTCTGTTTCCACGGATGTTCTGTTCTAGTTGCAGTCCGGAGAGTTTGTAATTTTTGTGAGCAGGCATCATGTTGCCAGTGAGTGGTTTGAGTGAGTGTGACTGGGACACTGTGGGTCGCTGCTCGGCCCGCAGGCTGCATTTACATACCGCCTTGTTGACAATGAATTGCCTTTGGTAGGATGGGAACAAAGTTGCGCAGAAGAAGGGATTTTATATTTTATGATTGCCTGTAAATAATTTTTTCTGCATTAAAAAAGCGACAGAAGCAGAAGAAGAAAAAAGTTTGAACACATGTTTTTTTTTTTATTATTCACCTGCAGAAACAATGCACTTGCATTGAAAGGCTGCTGTGCTAAACATGTGCATCAGAGTTTTATATTCAGAGTCTCTGTCGGCTTAACTTTTCCATGACTGACAGCATTTGGTTTTGGTCATTTGAACAGTCCTTTTATCCCCCTCGGCTTTCTCTCAATTCTCTGCTCAGGTCTGCCGACATTCTTTAACATGTTACAGTTGGTGTAATAATCATAACGTGATCTAAACTTATTCTGTGGCTGTGCTGGCCTTAAAAAAACTTGCAGCTGTTAGGGTCATTGAGCAAGAAAATCCTATGCTAGACCAACCTGGCTATGGGAGCCCATGCTTCCCTGATTTTACAGCAGGAACTCACTAAATGTGTTTCCATAAACTTTCTGTCTAAACATTTGCTACTGTTACTACAGCAGACTAATAAAGCAGCTGCCTGACATAAATACTTGAGGATCATCAGTAAAACCTCTGTAGGACATATTGTAGATTCACACTAGGAATACAAAAGATTATGCAATAAAGTAACTTTTCCACAGATAAATCTTAATTATAGACAAAAAACATGACATTTTATAATATTTCCCTGCCCTGTCAAAACGTTCTCGATGTAGTCCTGGATGGAAGCTATTTAATTAGTCTGGTTATTTGCTCAGGCAATTACCCTGCAGTCTAATGCACAACAATCATGTTGCATCTATTGATTTGAGCAACAAACATGATTTAAACAACAGTGATGCTTCTCTTTTATTAGATTCCACACCATTGTCATCCATCCAAGGTCTATATAGGCCAGATTAGGGATTAATATTGCTTCCAGCTTAATCTAGGTTTGTCCCGGTGTCTTCTTAGAGTCAGATGATCCAAAGGGAAAAATTGTCATCCAAATTTGTTCTTCCAGCCTGCTAATTGTAGTCTTAGCCATCCCAGGTAGGATGTGCGGCCCTGTGGTAACTTGAAATGAGTGAGGCCCTTTGATATGGATGGTTAGTTGCGCAAAATTAAAGGCTGATTTCCCATACTAGTGCTGCGCGGCTAGAAATTTCCACATCCCGCACCTAGCAAAACATGTATCTCCGTGGAAATATCACCATGATCAACTCTTGGAAATAAATTACTGACACTGTTGAATGAAATGAAGTGACATTAAAATGTTGGACACAAACGTTTTGTTCTACTTGTACTTGTGGTGTAGTGTTCCCAGAACATTAAGTAAGGGAATAAAATGCTGCGAAAGATGTATCGCCAACGTTCCACATGTAGATGTATCAAGCTTAAACCAGGCTTAATAGTCAAACAAACTGAATAGATTATCCCACTGATAATACATTTATACCAAGTAGAATAATACAGCATAGACCAGTTAATAACTTGTGGCAATTTATAAAAAAAAAAAAAGGCATTAAACAACAACAGTGCACCAAACAGCTTGATATGAAGTCAGCTTAGTAATTTTTTTTTGCATCTTAACTAAGCTTAGAACCATTTTCATTCTCAGTATATCTTTACACAACACATCACTTCACGGTAACTCTAAAGTATGAAACCAAACAAATTCACAGAAACAAATAAAAGTCAGCTTTCTCTTTCTTTTCGGTTTTATTTCTTTCTCAGAAGCCAATTGGTGCTTGCTAAATTGGTCGTGTTCTCCTATGTCTGCTTCCCTTCTCTACCTCCCTCAGGGAGGCGTAATGTAATAATTTTTGTGCGTTTTTTGTCCGTTTCCTTGATAGAAACGGACACAATCATGTATAACTATTGCATTTATTAAAAAAAAAAAGGAAATAACTTGCAGGAGTGAGGCCCCTTAGTAACTCAAGAATCTGTGTGGCCGTACAGTTTGCACAGCCCATGCCATGCCTCTGAGAGTCGCACCCAGCAACATATGGAGGGTGGGGGAGATACAACACTTGTTTTGAAATAGCCAGAAAAACAACAAAACCACGTTGAGTTTAAGTGTAACTCACCTGATGTAAATGCATAACCCCACCCTCAGACATGTTTTGAAAAATGTCACCAAAGTGGTCAGTGCTAGAAGCCCCTGAGGAGCAGGGCTAAATGTAAGCATGAGCAGTAGGGGTTAGGTGTTTGTGTGGTCAGGATGAGGGAAAGTAGCAGCTGCCTTAATTTGACATTTTCAAGCAGAGAGGGATGAAGCTTAAGCATAAATTCAATCTATAAGACTCTTATCAGCTTCACCTGAACCACCAATGATGTCTCCTGTTTAGGTCCAACCAATCAACTTGGAGGCCGCACCTTCTCCAAAGCCAACATCTTCTAACATCCCCTTCATTTAGATCCTGGCATAGCTTCCCTCTCCCTCACGCAAGCAAACTTTCACCAACATCAGCCCCATCTCCTCCTCCATGCTCTGTCCCACTCACCCTCTGGCGTTTTCCACCACCAGTGTCTGTGCCCCATGGGAAGACTACTGTAATCCTTTTCTAGGTTACTCATCCAAGCGTACGTTGGTTCACAGCATCGAAATCTTCTGCTGGGGGCCGAGTGCCAAAGAACATATTTCGTTTATGTCTTTATCTGCTTTTATCTCCTTGAACCCCAGTGGGCCACGGCAGATGCCTGCTCACACTGAGCCTGGTTCTGCTGGAGCTACTTCCTGTTAGAAGGGAGTTTTCCTTTCCACTGTTGCTACAAGCATGCTCAGTGCAAGGAGATAAAGAGAGTCAATGAGTCCTCGCAATCAACTGGTTTTCCTTAGAAGTGTTTTTAAGAATATGATTGTCTTACCTGCATAAATAAATTAAATATTTTCCAGTTGCTCTGTGTGAGTCTCTCCCAATTGGATGATGCTGATAGTTTCATCATTGATAGACTTTTTGAGCTGGAGGGTTTTCCAGCTCAAAAGAGAAGAGATGGATCTAAAAGTTGCAGGATGGGAGCTCTGGGGGGAAAGACTGGGGATCTCCTGAGTACCCGTAAGATGGTTAACATGCAAATATTATTGATTTGCACTAAAATAGCACAACCCATGGGTCCATTTTATTTTCTGAAAAAGGAAGATTTTGGGGGTGATATTATGACATGATAAGAATGTCAACAAAGCTTAACATTTCAAAACCAAAGGCCTGCTTAATTTCTTTCACCTAAACCTCACCTAAAATCTGGAAGAAGTATATCAAAAACATTCCTTTTAGATATGATCTGTTTGTCATGTTTTCTTTCTTTTTGGAAACAGATTGAAGCAAATAAAATAAAAAAGCAAACATCATCAAGTTTTTTGCTGTTTTGCCTAATTATTAAATCGACCCAAAATTAGAGATGCTCCTTTTTATACATCTTACAGCTGTGAAATAGCCATCCTGTTTTAAAGAGAGTAAATTAAGCATTCTTCCTCCGCTCGTTCACTTTATGAATAGCAATGGTGCTATAAACTGTCATGACACTTGACTGTTGTTCAGTTCAGAGCATATGGATTAAATTTATCCTGGGGGCTCATAGATGCACTGTTTCCACTAATTATCAAAGCACGAGGACCAGATACTGTTTCTGGTTGCAGTTCTCAGTGAAGCGTGTTAGGTAAGCTTTTTACCAGAAAGTGTTTATAAAAAAAAAAGGCTCATAAATGGATTCTGACAGTCAATCAGTGACTACACCGTATCTAAACACTCCGCAAAGTTGACTGCATCAATAACACTGCTGTTTCAGTTTCCCGTGACATTTTATGGTGGTATTTTTGCTTTAATAAGCTTGTGGCGTAATGTCTGATGTGCTCTATTTTCCTGAGGAAAATCAGGTTTTTCAGTAAAACGGTTGCTTTAAAGGAACCTTGCACATCCCTTTTTAACCCAAATGTCATTGTTGCCAAAGCACTCAGCTGATTTTTTCGATTACTTTCCCTGATTACTTTGACAATGATTTGATATTGCTGGATAATGAGGGCAGTGTGGAAAGGCGGTAGGAAGTGAAGTGGCATATCGGCCTCTAGGGGGCAGACAGGCATATTATGAGACATGTTCAGTAATTTTGGGTGTAATAATGTGAGCATACGTCACAGGACGTGGGAGCTGTGCACTCCCCGTGAGGGCTCCTAAAGCGAATATGTTGAGACTGAAATAATGTGTCAAAATTATATGTGATGGAAATGTACAGGAGTGAAATCCAATGAAATATCCTCTGTGGATGTGTGTGTGTGTAGTTTTGT